ATTATAAGTTTTGTCATTATTTAGCTTTGCACGTTTCAATTTTAAAATTAAAAATTTAATAATTAAAATTTAATTTCTTAAATTTTAATTATAAACTTTTTTAATTTTATAATTAAATTTAAAAATTTAATTATAAGAGGAAAAATTTAGATATAATTACAGATTAAACTGAATAAAAAAAGATGTTGGAGACATCGTTTTAATCATTATTATTTGTGAAGACCTCCCTATTAAATTTTTAAATTTAAATTTTGAGAAACTATTAATCTTTAAGTATACCCTATGACAGATAATGTCCTAATTACTATTCTCAAACACTTAAGAGCTTTGACAACTTAAAATTTAAAAAAAAAAATTAAAACATGTCACCAGTTTCTTATAATTCTTATTCTTGTATTTAAAAATCAACAAATATGATTTATATATGCTTATGCATAAAATGTATATTACAAGAACGCTCTTTAATTCGTAAACTCTGAAAACATTATTTTCTCTAATACATTATTTTCTCTAATTTTCCATTATTTCCATAATACTACTCTATATACTATACTGGGTTCACCTGAGGAAGCCACTTAGTTCCTTGCAGATGGGTACATATTGTAGTCCAGAGGACAAATCTGTGAATTTCCTAACCGACAAAACGGAAGTTCTAGTCTGAGCAATAATACCACAATATTTCCTCCATTTCCTTCAACGCATGAAGCGTTATCACTCCCCAATTTGTGACCCTGGACTTTTAGAAAACGATACTCTCAATCATGCATAGAGGACAACACAATAATGCTGCTGTATTCATTTTTTTAACCGTACTAGTTATAGATGGTTTAAAAACCGTAAGGATAAAAAATGTTCTTTACCGAAAACTTTTGAGTTAATTGGATAGACAGACTGTATTGGATAGACAGACTGTTGATTATTTTACCACAATTTTAGAATAGAAATTCTAACAGTGTATAAATGCGAAAACGTGCTTTATTTTTAATAAAATCACCATCTGTTAATTTAATTGTATCTTAATGAAAGAAAAATTCTATTTTAAGCTAAAAGATTAATTTTCCAGAAAAATTTATACTTCTTAAACATATTTGTAATAATTTTCGCTATCCAAATCGTTTTTTCCTTTCTATTTTTGCTTAAAACATATATTCATATCCAAAAATTGTTTCAAAATTACATATAACAAGTCTCATATTTAACGTAATATAATCTCAAAATTTTTTTATATTATTTTGTGAAACGTAGCTGACTTTAAAAAATAGCGAAAAAGCTACTAATTCCTTTTTTTTTTTCGTGTTTCTTAATTTCTTTTGGGCAATTTCGTATTTTAATGAAACTCGTTGTGTTCACTAATACCTTCGGATGGAAAAAAAATTGCTCCAGGAGATCTTAAAATGATAGTTATTGTGAAAAGAGATCATTATACGAATCTTTTTAACAATGAAACGAACATTTCCGTTCGCCAATTCCTCACGCTTCGTTACAAATCACGTAGAAAAAAATTTATTTTTTCATTTTTCCTTGTAGTAATCTAATCGTTTGTAAAGCATAAATCTATAATCTAACATATTTTACTTTTTTGAAATTTAACTTTTTTTTCCTACTTTCTCACTTGAGCTGAAAATATCTGTAAGTTTAAATGAACCATTTTCGCTTACGATTCCTTTTTATAGAAAGTTATTTTTACAAATCTAAAATCTTAATAGAATTTTATAACTTTAATATTTCGATAAAATTTTACAACTCTAACATTTGAGTACATTTCAAAGAAAATTATTTTTGTTTCACAAATTCATAATTTTTTAATGCGAATTTTGATTTTTGACCAGTAATAACAATAACGTTTCAGAAGGAAAATTTCCAAACTCTTGAAGTTTAAAATCAACCCTTAGTAATCATTTTTTTAAAAGTTTGTGAATAAAGAAGATGCAATTATATTTAAAGTAATTGCAATACTTTCGTTCGTTATTAAATCGTCCTGTTTTTAAATATTTATTATGAGTTTCAAAATAAATTTGATGGACATGCTTTGTTGTATTTTTAATAAGCGGCTAAAACCTAATGTTTTTAAAGTGTTTTTATAAAAAATATTAGTAAAGAAATAAATAAAAAATATATTAATTTGTTTTTGCGAAATTTCATTTTCACTTTCTTAACCATTAGTAAAATTTTGTGTCAAGCTGCCTATCAATGAAAAAAAAGCATTAAAAATATAAATAATGCACAATTTTGAATTTTATGTTTTTTTAAACCAAATAAAAATTTTAAATTATAACAAAATAGCTTGGATATAACTTTTGAGAAAATAATAGTTATTACTTTCCGTAAAATATAAATAATCTTTTAATGAAGTAAAGTGTTACTCTAATGAAGAAAATATATGTTGCCCGCTAAATTTTAGAACTCTTTTTAGTTCAAATTCTTCTGCAATAAAAATATATTTATAAATTTATACAGCAGAATTTCATTTTTTCTAAAAAAAAAACTTATTCACACTAATGTAAACATTTAAAAACCAATAATGTTTTAGAGAAATTAATGAAATAACTTATTTATTTTAAACATTTTTGTTTCCTAAGAAATGCGACTAAATTGAGATCAATAATTCGAGTTTTTTAAGTTATTCTAAATATCAGGACACAAAACAAACATAATCAGTTTAAGAAAATAGTTTACTTTATTTATTATAAATAATTTGTCTGAGTAAACTACGTACCTTATATTTATATTTTGAACTTAAGAAATTTCAGAACATTACTTATTTTTTAATACTAATATTATGTTCTACAACTCATTTAGAGAAAAAAAGCGCCTTTTATTTGTTTTTTGAGGGTGAAAGTTTATCTTTGACAGTGCTACTACACCCGATTTACTTAAGAATCGGGTAAAATATTTCACTAATTTATCGGTAGGGCTGACTATTGGTATAGTTTTTATATTTACAAAAATAGGGCACTTAATCATTTATTTGACTAGCATGTTTTTGATTATTCACATACTCTCTACTAAGTAAAATGCTTTTAGCCTTAATCTATTTAAATATAAATAAAATTTGTATTAGATTTAATGCTAATATTAATCCACGGACCGGTGAATGATACGGACACGGTAGATAAAAATTGAATAAAGCCAGCAAATATCTAAAAAGAAAATTTTAAAAAAAAATTAAATAAAATTTTTAAAAAAATTATTAAAATTAAAAATAAAAGAAAATTATTTAAAAGAAGTTAAGAATAGAAAAATGACAAAAAAATATATATATAATCTCCTCATCAGCTCACCCGATTTCATCCGCAAAAGTGGTGCTTTCTTTTGCTGGATTAATATAATCAAAGTAAAATATATCAATCCAATAAAGTGAGGTGCAGCAAAAAAAAGAAAGTATCTGATTCATAAAATTTTTTTAACCAAAATATAACGTAGATGAGAATTTAAGTACTTCATAATTATTATTAATTATCACAATGAGCAAAGCTAATACACTTTTCTCAATAATTAAAAATGATTAATTGCATAAGGCTTAATATAAACTGTTGCCCTTAATCGTAGCAAAGCATAGTATAGTGCAAATTTGATGCAGCTTTAAAATGTGTTAAATTAAATCATATTATCGTGCAAATTAGTCCTTGTTTAACTTGTGTACATTGTAAAAATTTCCGGATCAAATTACTGTTAAAAGTTTCCGCATTATGGAGGGGGGGGGGAAATACTTTTTATCAGAAATCCCTTTTTATCGGACTAGGTAAACGGAACAAAAAATCTGACATACCATGGTTTTTTGAATAATAATAATATTACAGTAAAATGGATTTTACAGATGATGCACCATGAGTGGCGGTACTTTATATCGTAATTTGTTTTTTTAATTTTTTACAGTGCGTACAATAAAACGAAAATACTGTTATATTTATACCTTATTAAAGTGACAGCACATTTACGTGATCCTATGGTTCAAAATACTGATATAATGGTACGACTTTTATAAGCGTATATAACTTTTTTCTACCTTTTTTTGGTTTATGCCATTCTCTTTTTATTTAAATTATCATTATATAACTACTATAACAATTGTATATCATATTTTTTCAAAAAAAAATAATTTTCCTTTAATACTCAACTTTATTTCGTTATTAAAGGAATATTATCTTTTCTAATAAAAAAACCTTCATTTTTAGCTTAAAAAAAGGATATTCAAATAAGATATGGAAAAATTAAAACTAAACTAATTAAGTTTTTATATCAAAAAGCCATGTTTTTCATGCCAAAGGAAAAATTTGGGATTCTAAGATTATTCTTGTTCTAGAACGTTAAGCTTGCAGAATTTTTTTTCGCATTATCAATGGAAACTTTAATGCAATTAGCTTTGATATTTTAAGCTTTTAATGCACTTTTCCGGAATTAAGTATGCAAATGTATTTTTTATAATTAACACTCTGATATGAAGCTAATTAAATTAAAGTTTTACTTATTTAAAATTTTCAAAATAGTTTCATAAAAAAATTATTTTTTGTACAAAAAGATTAATTCTTCCGAATCATCGTATTTAAAAAGTTGAAATTAATTTTCATAAATAAAATTTTGTTTTGCCTTAAGAAAAATTTTTAACAAAAAATAAATTAAGTCTCATAAGTTTAAATAATTGAACAATTAAATCAAATTGCCTGAAAGAAATATTTATTGCAAAATAAAGATAAATTCGTGCACAAGTTCCATGCAATAAAAATTTATAAAAGCAAATTTAAAAAACTAACCGTTTTAAGTAAACTATTTGTATCTTACGTATTCTTTATTTTAAATAATATATTGTTCTTATTTACCTTACTTGTTTTGGGGCTTTTTTGTTTAAAACGAAAACGATACATTTTATGATTTATTCATAATTTCGAAAGAAATTTTGGCTTTCATGCATAATTTTTATGCATTATAGTACAAAATAATATTTCTGGAGAAATATTAACAAGGCATGAATGAATCATTGATAAGAATAAATTTCTTCTTACCTGCTTGCACACATAGTAATCCTATAACTAGTCCACACACAATATAAATATTATATTCTTTAAATAATATACGTTTTAGCAATGTGTAGTCCATGCTTTGGCCGGAATTCTACGCAAACTCCACAATATTGCTATAAGAACACCACATATCTAAATAAAAAATATCGTCTGCAGCACTGAATGTGCAACTCAACTCATCCACTGTTCCAAAACTAATTTGGAATGATTTTTAGGATTCAAATTAGTTACACGCTTTTCATCATAATTATCCTCTCACGCAGATAAGAAGCGAGCACCGGCGAATTTTCTTAGTCGATGGCACAATTTAAGAAGACCCTTTCTTGCAAATCCCCAAGTGCTTGTTGACAGCACGATAGCGGACAGACTTCTGAAGTCCAGGGCTGTCTATACAGGTTGAGTGACTTTTCAGTCACGTGGAGTTAAAGAAGAACAAAATTTACTTCCAGAAGTTGGAATACTAAAAGTTAACCAACTGGTTCGATGTACTTTAAGAACGGGTTCGGTTAATTCCCGGGGATGAAAACTGATGTAACTTGTGGATATCGGTTTCGGAAACCCGCAGTTTCGGTTACGTTTCAGTAGCACCTTGAATGGCGATAGTTATTTACTTTTTAGAGTTCCTTTCAAACAATGATTCGCCTCAACGATTTGTTTACGAACTTTCTTATTTCCATTCGCGCCTCTTTTTGAACTATCGTTTTATGTTAGCAATTCATAATTTTTTGCGTGTTTGCTACATGTTTCGGTTTGAAAGTATTCTGGTATTTATTTAAATGCATAATTTATAATTCTGGTAAAGTTATTTCAATTTTATTCTATAATCATTTTAAAATTTAATCTCAATCAGAATGTTGTAGTATTTCGAGACTCAAGGATTACGTTGTTAATTTGTGTAACACAGTTCTGTCTATATGGATTACCGCAGAAAATTACTTTGACTTATTCGCTTATAAGCTTATAGCTGTCAATAATAGACAAAAGTCACGTGGTTTTATATAATAACTAGCTAAACTAACTGCGTTATCTTTTTGCCTCATAAGTCATGAAAGTTATCCAATTGATAGAAAGTCATTCAATAGTTTCTATAGATATCGTTCTCAGTTAAAAAGCATCCTCACTTATGTACTTCATCACGCACTTTTAACAACACCAACAATTTACAATTTTTCACAGTGGTTCAACTTGAAGGATTATACGGTTCAGTTTACGGTCTTCTAAAGTTGCAGCGAATTAGAAAATTATTTGCGGTTCAACTTTAAAATCATATTTTAGAAAATGCACTTAACATGTAAAATTTTAATAAATCTGATCTTTGAATTTTAACAAGCCCCTTTCACTCTAGCATATTTTATTAACTGAAGTATCTAATACGTAGTAAGTAATAAAAATTTTGGATCAATTTAAGCCGAAGAAATACAGACATTTTTGGGGCATTATTCTTAAAAGGCATTTTTCTAAGAAATCCATTAGAATAGTGAAATTTTATAGCATAAATTTACAGTAATATTTATTTAATTGCAATGATTTTATAGTTAATACCACTGTATAAAAATTACGGCATATCAGACTCCTTGGTCCGTAAAATTTTACAGTAAAAATAGGTTCTACGGTACCGTTTTTACCATAATTTAATACGAATTTTTTTTGTAGTGTTTAAGAACAAGGAAAATCTTGAAATTAATTTAAATGTTGTGGCTATGGATACCTGAAATTTTTCCTAGCAGAGGTGAGGTGTAAGCATCTTGTATTTTTTGAAAAAGTCATAAAAAGAGAGGTTTAGATTTCACTATTTAGACAAGTAAAGTATTTGTTCAAAGATATTTTTATGCAAAATCGATTGAAATTAAAACCAAATCGATAGAAAAATGGTTTTGAACTTATAAGTTCATCATATATAAAAGCATAGTGTGTAAAAAGTTCATCTCTTGATATTCTATATTTTGATATTTGATATTCTCGTATGTAGTTTCTTAAGCTTAATTGAATGAAATTAAAACCAAGTTAAAATGGCCCATAGCTCAAAAGTTATAAAAACGTTTTTGTACAAAAAAACACAGTTTTCTACTTAAAACTTATCACGCTTCATACATTGATATTGTGCATAGATATTATTTTACACTGATGTACTGAAATAATTCCGCATCAAATTAGGGTCGAAAGTACCGATACTGAAGGTACTGGTACTTTCTACCGTAAAATTCATTTTTGGTGGAACAAAAAATTTGATATACCGTAATTTTTATAGAAATAATTACCGTAACAATCTCTAAAACACTAATTAAATTAATAATTCGATAATTAAAAATTAATAAATTAGTAATAATAATAAATAAATAATTAATAAATAATAATAACTAATAATTAAATAATAATTAATAATAATTAATAAGTAATCAATAATAATTAATAAATAATTAATAAATAATGATAATTAATAATTAAATAATAATTAAACTAACGAAATAAATTTTTCTATAAAACTCACTGTATAATATTTCACGGTAAAAATGAATTTCCCGGTAAAATGATACACTCAAAGAACAGTGCATTATTCCGTAATTTAATCCGGAATTTGAGACACTCTAAGAAAAGACAAACGAGAATAACACAAGAATTCTTAAGATTCCTAGCTTAGACTTTAAGAGAGTTTTAGTGTATACAAAGTATAAAAAAAAAGGAACATGGGCCAAATAGCTTATAACTACTCAATTATTAGTCCTACTGATTTTGTTTTGGTCTCATTGATTCAACGTGAAAAAAATACAAAGGAAAGTTTACTAGCAACGCTTAATTTGTCCCCTGTTCACCCCTCTGACCCTAATTAAGTTCAAGAGGATGGAGCTAAACTATTCCCAACTAAGCTAAACTTTTTGGGCCTTAACTCCAACTTTGAAATCAATTTCCCTCTTTTTTTCCAACCATTTATTCACCTACTTAGCAAACTATATCTGTTATTTTTGTATATAATTGATTTTTATTAATGATCTCAAAGTCTTACATCACACGCTCTTACTGTGGGATTCCAAGATCGTGCGTGACTTATACCATTAGTGAATCTCTTATTTTCAAAGTCGGATGAAGCAAAGGTTAAATACAAACTTACAAGCTACATTTCTTCATTAATCTTGAATAAGGATTTTTCAGAACAAAACAAATTGATATTGTTTTTAAATACATGATTATTAGTTTTGGTGAGGGACATTTCAAATAATCCCAAACGAAGGATGTGTTAAACCTCTTAACAGTTGCGTCACCTCGAACATCAACGTTTGGCTCGACCTCTTGAACAATCCGTTTGGATTTTCAATGGATCTTCAAGCAATAATTTGTTCGAATAATGTTTGGTCTCTAATCCACTGGATGGCCTTTTCATAATGCCTTCAGCTCTATGTTTTAAAACATTTTGAATTAGATGCTTTATAAATAAATCATTGAGTCGCAAATTATTTTTACCATTTGTATATACTTCGACGAAATGCACCTTAATCTCAAATAATAAACATAAATAAGAATGAGTGAGACTAAACTAATTTGTTAGGTGGAGGTCACCGGAAAAAAATTTTTGACGCATTTGGCAGCACAGATTTAGTTCTTAATTCTATTGGATAAAAGTTAAGTCTTATAATTTTGCTATGTAACTTCGCATTTATATTTAAATTTTGATTACTATTTTTGTTCTCCAGTACCCACCAGGAGAATGACCTCGGTCATACAGGCATCTGAAGGACAGATTTGTTGACCACTCTTTCAGGGGCTCTATATTAGGTGGGCCAACGTTGCTCCCACAGTAAAAACAGATAGTACGGAGAATGAAAGAGCATCCTTGCCTTGCCCGGGATTCGAAACCAGAACCTTTCTAGAGCAAGGCCAGTTCCCTGACTCCTACACAGGCCGGTCAGCAAATAAAGTCTGCAATTTTGATTAATATAAAAACGCGTTTTTTTGTTTGTTTTTTTGCACGAAAACTTATATAGAAATAGGCTAAAAGTTAATTCCAAAATATTTCGTTGCAATTTTTGCATTAGTTAATTAAATAAAATATGACGATTGGATACAGTTTTACACAAAACTGTAATAAAGGAAATATAATTCAGTCACTATTTAATAAGTGTAAAATGGTTAATAAGTTTATTTTAAAATGTTATATTTTATAACCGTCGTTGAACAGCCGACAGAATTTTGGGTTTACGACTACTAATCTTCAACTCCGTAGCCTTGTAATTTTGAACCAATCCAGAAGACAAGGAAACTCCTGTATCAGTACCCCCAGAGGTATGATTTGTTATGGGAACATGGAGGATTTTGTGACTCGACAGATTTAACGTGCACCAGTCACCATTTACTACACGGGGAATCTTCGGCCAACAGGGATCAAACCCATGACCTCTTGGACATCGTCCCGGTGCCCTACCTACCAAGCTCTCCCGGCCCGATTTAAATATTACTTATAAAATTCTTCGTAATAAATTCATAAAATTAGTATAGAATAAAGGAACTCCTATTTTAGCTTTAAGTCTTTAATTTAAAGTAAAAATTCGAAATAAGAACTTACCTAATAAGTACTTTTAGAATAAGTTTAAAGAATTATTTTGCGACTAAATAATACCTTTCTTTGCTCACCAATAAAATATTTCTTGTTATGGCAATTGATATTAACTTCACGCTGATGTCAACTAAATAAATCTGGATTTTCATTAAAGTAGACTGAAACATAACATGTGATTTTTATATCTGATAAAAATGCATGGACTGGGCATCATTTTCATTTTATTTTTATTTTTATAGAAATTTATTACTTGTGCCAATTAAATCAATAAAGTTGTCATTGACAGAAACTTATTTCCTTAGACAAAACCTTTAACGTTAAATTTTTGTAAGCTCTGTGTCTTAATAAAAGGATATCCAAAAAATAACAACGAAGAATCTATGACAGAAAAACTGAAGAATGCAGAAATATTCGGTTTACCACGTTGTGCTTAGAAACCAAATAATTTTTCAGCACGGACGACAATTTTAGTTCCAAATCCTATCAACAGAGGATTTTGATGACATGAAAACTATAAAACGATATTCTCTGTTACGTCTCAGATCATCTCAACTGAAATGTTTCTAATGATGTCAGTTAATTTTGATCTGAAATAAAAACCTGACGATGCAGCAAATGTGATGGTGCAATGAATTGTGATGGTTCTTTTTGATTTTTTATGATCCTAAGCACAAGCTTTGATGATTTTTTAAGCTTCCTAAGCAGAACGCAGCAAACTATTATTTTCAGTTATATTCCATTTTTCCTCAATTTATAACTTCAGATCACCCAGAAAACTACTTTGAGTAGCTTTTCTAATATCTTAGTTTTTCATTAAAA